CAAAGTTTTTATTTTTTGTTTGTCCGTGATATGGGATGCAATTAAATAACATAATTGTCGGATACACATTTTATCAATAAAAATAAAAAATAATGATTTTTCATGTAAGGTGGTTTGAAATTGTGTCCCAGATCTCTGTCACAGGAATTGATATGTATTTAATAGTGACAAACTTAATGTTTCTCACTAAAATTTACGTGTGAAATAAAGAAACCTACTGATTGCTTCAATTATTTTCTTGAAAACGTAAGGGCTAGAAAAATTAAGTTTGTCAATTGTAAATACGCATCGATTCCTATGACAGAAATCTGGAAGAAAAACACAATTTCAAACCACCTTAAATGAAAAAATATTATTTTTATTTTTGTAAATAAAATGTGTTTTTAGATAATTATGTAATTTAATTGCATCCCATATCACGAGAAAACAAGAAATAAAAGCTTTGTAACAGTTAATTTCAGTCATTTTTATAGAAAACATGGGTACTTTATGGGGACTAGAAAGGAAATCACATCATTTCTTTAGAAAAAAGATTAATATCAAAATTTTACCGAATAAACCGCAACTTAATTAATATGGACATAAAGCTTATTAAAGGAGGAAGTTTTTGTAAAAAATAAATAAAAGGCTTACCGATCCCGAAGGTTCGATGCCGACACCACCAATCGCTTATTTCACAACTCCCTCCAGCGTTCGCCGTCCAAACCCAGTCTCTTCAGATCGGCTTTAACGCTATCTTCCCACCTTCTCTTCGGTCTGTCCCTCGGATCTTTACCATTCGGTACAGCAAATGTTAACCTTTTAGGAATTCTTTCGTTACTAAGCCCAACAATTTTGCAAGCCCATTCGATTTGTCGCAATGTAATCACTTCAATTATATTAACCGGATACAGTTCACGCGTTGTGTAACTGTCTGAACTGTTCGGTTAACTCATCCTTCTTCGATCCGAATATTCTACGTAATACTTTATTTTCAAAAACCTTGAAACGTTGCTCATCCCTTAATGTAAGCGGCCACGTTTTACATTTAAGAACTGTATGTAAGATAATGGTTATGTAGATTCTAGTTTTTAGGTTCCGGGGCAATAGGCGCGAGCTAAGTAGTTTTTTATCATCAAGCAGGTAGTTATTTATCACAGAAAAATAACAAGCATTTCCCGTCTTCAACCTAACCTTTAATATACTCTTCAATTTCGTATTTTCTAGTTATCGTAGAACCTAGATACCTAAACTCTATATTGAGTGAAATTCCTCAATAGTAATTACAATTCGTCTTTTGGCCCTTTTTGTGAATCGGAATAAGAATAGATTCTTTCCATTCTTCAGGTAATTTCTTATTCTCCCAATCTTTTTAACCAACAAATGTATTTTAGAAACTCCAGCTTCCCCGTATGCCTAAACTAGTACACTAGGAATATTTTCGATTCCTACTGTTTTATAAAATTTTAATTTTTCGATAGCTACTTCAACTTCCTCTTTACTCGGTTCTTCTATTAACGGTTCAGCACTCTGGTAATCAGAAGGAGGACACAGATTATAATTTCCCGTATTTAAAATATTGTCGAAATGGTTCTTAAACTTATTTACCGGATTTTATGTCTACCAGATCGCTCAGAATATTGTTGTTTTCATCCCTAATTCCAGACGTGATGTGCGCTAAATATTTACGTGATCTATTTATACCTTTGTGCATGTCTCTTAAGTTATTTTCGAGTCTATTAGTTTCTATTTCTATTATTTTATTTTTAAGAGTCTTCCTTTTTTATTTATGAGCAATGTTGTTTCAATCTTTGAGGTTCGGAAGTACTCCAGATTTTCTTCGCTAGGATTATTTAGGGCTTTTAATTTAGCGGTTTTTCTTTTTTCGCTCATGTTTACGCAATCTTCACCAAACCACGGTTTTCGCTGATCTCTACCCATAACTTGTCAATATCCTAGCTCAGAAGGTTCTAAAGCTTCAAATCTATTCTTAACATCTAGCTCAAATTCAGTTGTAATTGCTGAATTTTTCCAAATTGAATTCTCGAAATCGAAACGTTTTCTTTTCTCTTTTTTATATTAAATTTTTGTCGAAGTTTCGCGATTACTAATTCATGATCCAACCCACATGCTGCTCCGCGATAAGACCGTACATTAATTATACTGCTTTGCCAGCTATGTTTTATCAAGAGATGATCGATTTGATTTCGTGTTTGTGAATCTGATGATGTCCAGATATATTTTTATGAATATATATTTAATGAATTAATTAATGAATATATATATAGACGTAGTACTTTTAATTATCAGGTTCTTCAAGATGGGAAAGTTAATCAGACGGATTCCATTATCATGACTATATTCGTTCGTACAAAGTTTCTTAGCAATGATCGGAACATAAAATTCTTCCTTCCCACGTTTGCGTTTGCGTCACCTACAATTTATTATCATCGAGTTTCGCGGTAGTTTATCAATTTTTGTTTATATATATATATATATATATATATATATAAATATATATATATATATATATATATATATATATATATATATATATATATATTTTATATATTATATATTCTATAGTAAATAAATTCCTGGGGAATAGAAAAAAAAAGTAGTTTATCATAAATCCATTTGAGTTTTTCGTAAAATTCGCAATTGACTTCATCGTCACTGTTTTCGTTCGCACAATGTGTGTTTATTGACACGATTTTAAACCAACGTCCCTGAAATATAGCTACAGAAATTCTATCACTAAAGAATTTTACGTCCCTCAAAGCAGATAGCAATCTATTCATAACTAGAAACCCTATACGGATTTAGATACCTCAGCTCTGCCTGCCCGCTGGGGAACTTTAGTCGTTTAAAATTATTATATATACTAATTATAATTGTTGATTAATGTTTATATATATTTAGGCAGAGCTGTGTCTGAATCGGTATAGGGTTTGTAATGGGCCAGCCACCAGGACCGCAACAAACCCTAGACGAGTACAGAAAAGGTGTCTGAATCCGTATAGGGTTTGTAAATACGCAACCGGGTACCTAAACAATGATTCCCGTTTCCTCCGTACCAAATAGTGTACTTTCCTTCTCTCATCGAGCCTTCCCCTAGCCAGCGAATCTCTTGCAAACTCACGATTTTACCCCACCAGCTGAATTCAAACTCCTTACGTTCCGCGTACCAATACCTAAATCCCTATTTTTTAACTTGCGCCATGAATCTCCTTGTATGGCATGTTTATGGCACTAGCGGATCCAGCCGGGGGAGAGGGTGAATTTTTTTTTTTAAAGTTTAAAAAAACAGCTTTTTAAAGAAAAGAGAAACAGAGGGGAAATTCACACACATAGACGATGAATTTTCTAATATGACATAAAAAAAATTACTATCGTGACCAGTACTAGCGAATTCTGCCAGGGGGCGCGCCCTCCGTTGGATGCTGGAAACAAATTCCAAATTACACCTATTTAAAGAAAAGAGAAATGTAGGAAAAATTCATCCTCATGGACGAATTTTCTAACTTAATATAAAAATTATTATCGTGACCAGCACGAATGATTTCTTCCAGGGAACGCGTTCCCCTCTGGATGTTAGAAAGATAATTCCGAAAAAAAATATCCAGAAAAACATCTATTGAAAGAAAAGAGTAATATAGTTTTTGGTCCGCCGTAAGATGGGAAGGCTTGTGCTCCTTTCGTGGTTTGTTCCTATTGACTCCGAACTGAGTCTCGCAGGTGAAATATATTACGGAGGAAAATTTATTTTAAAAAACTTCATTTATTCTTTCGAACATCCTTTTATTCGAGTACAACAAAAAACAAAGGGTTTTCTTCTGGACCCAGTTTCAATAGATCTGAACGGATTGCAACTATAATCTCCTTGAAGGATCTATGGGAATCATAAAACTGATCACGATAATAACTTGCATATTTCTCATTAGAATGTGTTGTTCTTTTATCAAAATAGCTGCTGTTGGAAACGTTTTCATGAAGGAATGTATTATTTGGTCTCCGATTTGATCGGAATCGGAAATTATTCTGAGTTATTTTTTCTTAGAGAACTCATATCCAAACTGGCCATTTACAGTAATATTTCTCAGAATTTGACAATATCGGTAAATATTAGCGTTCATTGACCTAAGTTATCTACCATATCACTTAAACAAATGATTAAGTTTGGGTACTCCGTTCAATGCACAATTTGACGTTCTTTAATTTCTTAAAGAATACGTTTTTCGCTTTGATGCACTGTTTAGTAGTAACACAAAAAAAAAATCAGATAAATTTGGATTTTATTGCTGTAAATAATTTTCTCTTGGTTACTGGTGTTAGCAATTTTTTTTACATGTTTAAACTCATAAACAGGATGATATCTAAGTAGAGAGAAATAATTAAAGGCTTGATAGCAAAACTCAATAAATACAAACAAGTTTATATAAAGAATAGTTCGATTTTAATCAGGAAAGTAGGGAATTAAAGTTTTGTGATTTTTTGTCAGGTTTTTAGTTAAATAGAAAGTCATAACAAAAAACTATTTAATTTAAGTAATTAATAATGGCTTCACTGTAAATTAGTCAACATTTACTCTATTTAATAGTTTCAACAATGACACATTGTACTTTCCTTTAAAGTAAATTTTGTCTAATTTACTCTGGGGCAATGTTTAATTACTTTGATCAAATATTTTTTAAATTATCCCTTCATGTTCAACAAAAAACGTGATTCATTTAAAAAATACAAATCTCAAATTGCCTACTTTTCTGCTTAAAATTGGGTAATTGTTTATACTTTTTTGTAGATCTTTATCTCTACTACCAACCTTTAAAATATTTCCCTTTAATCATGGGACACCCTGTATATTTATTTGTCCCATAGTTTGTGAAATCACTAAAAGTCAGATTTCTACTCATTTTGTTAGTGATAAGGTTCTAACTACATTACTAAAATCTTAATATTATATTACCAGAGAATTGATATTAAAAGTTCAATCACAACTATGTAAATTAATGAAAACAAATGAAACATTTTGTTCATTATGAAAAAAAATTTTAGCAAATCAAATTTTCAAAATGGTTTTCTTAAAATTGAGAATAGACTAGTCACAACCTCATTAAGCAAAGGTAACTAAAATCAAATAAAAACAACAATTATAAAAGTATATATTGATAAGTATACAACTGTAGTATACAAATTATCAATAAAAGATATACATCCACTGAAGTTTAAAATTATTTAGCTATAAAACAATTAATATAGCCAAATATAACAAAAAAAATAAAAATAGTATAATGAGTCTAAAAAACAATATAATAAGGGAAAATATTAAACTTAATGGAAGCAACTAATTAAAAAAAAATGATAATTACTTATAAGAAAGCTCTCGTATTACAAACCAATCACAGTTCTATGGTTCTCCTGAGCAAATTAATAAGTCTTTAAAATAATGGCACATAACACACGATTCAATAAAAATAAAACAAAAAAATGCAACTTTTATGCTCTACAATGAAAAATAAAAAGAACAACTTTTTGTGCAATTGATATCCAAATTACATATATTTTAGAAAATAGAAATTATATACACATTTAACAAATAAAAAATTGTATATCCAATGATAATAAATGTAAAATGATCAGTCTCTTTTATTTAAAGAAAGGAAAAGTAAAACATTGTTAAGAATATAGTTTAAAATGTGCACAATTGTTGCAGTCAAATTGTGAACAGTGGAAGTTAACAATTTCATCAACTGTAATGATTTTAGCATTTTCTTAAACATCTTTTGTCAACTATCAAATTAATATGAAGCTTAATATTTAAAAAAGAAATAGTTAATATTTTATATATAACATGAAATATTTTAAAAAATTTTTAATTTTCAAAACTAGTATATTATCTAATATTGTTAAGGTGAAAATGCTAAAACACAGTGATTGAATGGAGCTCATTTATATGTGAAGCTAGACAATAAATTTTAAACATATCCATATACTATAGATTTCAGAAAAAATTAATTCAAAGATAAAATTATTGAGATCATTAATTTTTAACACATTGAAATAATTAAGTTAACAACTGTACAAAAAAAAATATATATAATATTTTTTCTTCTTTACACATTCTAAACTTTTCATATAAATTAAGACTTATTGACATTTTAAAAATATAATTCCAAATCCTCTTATAATTTTTCTACAAAAATATATTCCAAAATAATTATGTTATTACAAAATTCTTAGATACAACAATATCTTACAGCGAAGGATTATTACAATACATAAATTTGGCAGGATGAAAATACTGGAATGGAATTAGTTCTGGGTCTTTTATAGAATTGGTACATCAAATTACATTTCAGTAACTACAGTGATCATTAAAAATTATTAATATGAGGTTCACTGATCATATGTCAGTATATAATGGAATATAGCCTTAATTCAAAAAGTAGAGTTGCTCGAGCCATATTAAAAGAATTAAATAGTTCTTCTAGAAGAAGTGTGCAGTAATAAAGGACACAATGAAATAAGATGAAAACATCAACAAATGAAGGTACTCAGAAATAAATCCAATGAAATTCACAGGTACACGATTCAATAATACTAAATTGAAATAAAATAAGGCCATAAATAAAATGACCCATAGGTGGATTTCATTTAAAATAATAATTACTTTTTAATAGATCAGTTCAGTAATGATAATTAGTTTTAAATAAACTGCTGATGAAGTGCCTAAAAACATCTGAAGCTGTAACTTTGGTCAGTACTTTTTGTTGTTATTATCCTAATGAACAATTACTATACATAGTGGGAGGTCATCAAAGTTTTTAGTTATTTATATTAATAAAAATATTTAGTCTAAATTTGCTTTCACGAGTGTTACCATCAAAAATATATTATGATAATAATTATCAAGAAGAAAACAAGTTTATTATTGTGTATTACATAAAAACAGTAATTACTTAACTCTTTTTATTTTTCGTATAATTATTCTGAGATTATTATGGAGAATTTATGTGCAATAAGTCATCAGCATAATAAATTTATTTGCAATATTCGAGCCTCTCGCAATTTCATGATAACAACTAAAAATGAAAATAAAATTAAAATGCATTAGCAAAAAAATTTATGAGAATTTATAAGCAATTCATTGAGCAAAGAAATTTATAAGTAATTCCATTTAATAACACTTGTGACTTGTCGAATTGTACCTAGATTATCTATCTTTATTTTGGTTGATGAAAACGGTAAGTAATCACATTTTAAAATAAGAACATCTTTTATTTATAAAAAAAATACGAGTATAGAAGATATAAAAAGGTAATATACAAAAACTGTATAAAAATGAAATCTGCTGTAAACTAGTAATAAACCATTTAATTTCAATTACTGTTTAATAGCTAAATTACCTTCACGATTAGTGACAAGTGTTACTATGATAAATTAACACTAGTCACAGGTAATCTCATTTTGAATTTAACAAGGCCTTATTAAGGAATGAATTTCTTTACCATCCTAGAAAAAAAATAAAATAAATAATTCTGTCAATGATGATAGGAGGCTGATCATATCTGATAGGCTAAGTTATTACTATTTTGAAGTAATTATATGGTAAACATTGTGACAATGAATAAATACAATCACCATTTTTTTCAAGTGAAAAAATTGGTGTAATCCTCTATGGCCTTCAAACTGAACTGACATAATGATGAGTTAAACAAATGCAAAATATAATACATGCAAAGACAGGATAACTAGTTAAATTATCATAAAATACTGAAAACAAAAACAGTTTTACTCTTAAAAACTTGAACAAGTATTGAATTAATTAATTCTTAAGAGCTACCTATTGTATTTTTTTAAACTTCCTAAAATCAAACCCATTTCATAAACAAATGAATTTATGACCGTCACCCCGGACCATCCCCTTCCTCTAAAATATACAACGGTCAACCATTAAGTTTTCAAATTAATATACCATTACAACATGTAAATTATTATGTTCAATGAAATCCCCATAAATCAATGATCAACCACACAGATGTTGCAAGTGCCTATATTACAATTAGACATTTTAAAAAATTAAGATTTGACCACATCCTGTAATTCCATATTTATTAATTGTATTTGATAATTTGTAAAAATATTTTATGTTTATTTAAAGAAAATGTGCTAACCTAGATTAGGCATTTTCCAAAACTTTTTAAATTGTTACTTATAACATCTGTGAAGTAAGCCACTAACGTGCTTATGGTCTGAAGGCTCAAACACCATGATGACCTTAGAAAGAATATTTCAGATCATGTTGAATCCAGAATAACAATTTTTTAATAAATATTCTTGTTTTATAATTTGTATAGGCTATACCAATAAAGACTTTTCTTCTTCTGTATATGTTTTTGTCAATGATATTTGCTAACAATCACGATAGATACTGAAAAGTAACTATTCAACATAAAAATTATTCTGTAAAAGATCATTAGTTTCTAGATAAAACAAACAGAAGTTCATCATTTAACCGGAAGTAATTAAATCAATAGTCGAAAAAGTTTCACATAGTTCATGAAATGTAAGCAATTAATAATCAGTTAAACACATCAATTTTAAAAATACTTGAAACTGGAGGCAATGGAGCGTGCAAAAAACAGTCAGGCTTCCACCACCACCCGTAATCTTTCTTGTTTTTACTTATATCTATAGAGCTGTGTTTGTTTTCATTGTTTTTTTTTTCAGAAGTTTTGTGATTCTAATTCTTTTAGATATCTAAGCAATAATTCTGAGTTGCTCTGTAGAAAACACCCAGCGCCTTATCTATTTCTTTTTGAAATCTTTATAACTAGAAAGTTCGTAAGCACCATTCACTTTTTTTCATCTTGGACGGATTAAAAATCTAATAAATTTCTTTACAATTACAAATTTCAAGTTATTTGTTATAGAATTATATCATTAAAAACGTATGCTCTCTTATATAAAGATTATATCTAATCTATAACAACTTCAATTGTAATAAAGCAACCATTTATAATACTTATAAAGACAAGACCAATATACATGCTGCATTAAGAATATTTGTTCCTAGAAGAACTTTCGGTGATTAGAAAAATTGGTTGATTATATTGACTGTTCGCTGAAACAAAACTGAATGTCACAAAAGGAAAATTAAATAGGAAAAGAAAAAAGGAGAGTAGTATTTAATATAAAAAGAAAAAAAAGTTAGTAGGTCATAAGGACAATTTATATTCAACAATCTTCCATTTCAACATAAAAAAAAAATCTGTACCACTAACAACCCATGAAGTGTCTTGGATTCAGTACAATGTGAGGAAGTACTGTTACAAGGCCAACCGTTCTGCAGAGAGGTGACAGAACAATGTCACACTCAACTGCCAAGTTTTACCTCTTAATTATTATTTAATTAAGAGTACCCACTTTATAGAGGCTGGATTTGCTCTAGGGTCGACCCACAGCTGATGAAAAGTTACTAGCTATCAGCCAGATTCGAACCTGTGACGTTGAGCTCTGGAAGTCAGTGCCCATCCACTGAGTTATCCTGCTCCCCATTTCAACATAAAAAAATATATAAAATTTAACCTTTTTGTGCCACATCCTCCAATCTTGACCCACAACCTATCAGCTTGAAAAATTGTTTTTTAAACTGTAACTATTCAGTGGTTAGTTTGAGAACCTAACTCTTAAATTTCCCATATAGTCAGTCACAATGAATATTATTTTACCTAAACAAAAATTGCTATAAACCAATAAATATTATTTTAACAAATGATTTGCCTTTTCGAAAGGTGAATAAACTCAATTAAATGTGGAAATAATAATATTATCTGAGTTTGCACATTAGAATAAGTGAACATAGAAAGAAAATAAGGAATTATAATAAATCAAGGTTAAATATGAAAATCAACATTGGATCAAGAAAACAAGAAAAAAAAATTATCAATAGCAGGAACTTTTTTTCTTCTATTTACTTGTATTCAGAAAAAATAACTTTAGTACCACAGTATATGCAACAAAAATATATTCCATCTTTTTACTCCTTATTGTAAAAAAAAAAAAGATCTTGTAATAAATGAGGCATTTAATGTGAAACCACAAAAAACTGTAACATTTTATCTAAAAGAAATACTTAAAATTTAAATAATTGATATCCTTTAAAGAAATTTAATTTAATATGGTATCAGACTAGCAGCAAACACACCTGAATAAACTGAAATACTAAGAATGCTTAAGTTAAAAAATGAAAAATTTAAAACTACAAATATTATATGTCCAGGATTTAAATTAAAATAATCCTATAAATCCATAAAATAAATTATATATCATCTAATTTCTTCCCTCCCCCTTTTCAGAATCATTTTTACTAACACCTACAGGCAAAAAAATCAAGGGAGAGCAATTGTGAACAGAGTTTAGGCCAGGAGTTATGCTGAAACCTTGAGAAGATCATCTTGGTTCTTTTTTCTTCCCTTTTTTTTTTCTAACTTCAGATTAGTTTCATATTCTCTCAATTGTGTACGCTAATTCATATGTCGATTGTTATTTTAGCAATGAAAAGTTGCTTGAACACTAAAAGGGTTTTCCTTAAGTTGTTTACCTACACACAATATTGTATATTTATTGAAAAGTCAGGAACTTATCATTTTTATTACAGTCAGTGAGAAAGTTTAAAAATGCTCATATGGTTTTAAAAAATTGGAAATTGGTCTAACTCTCAAAACAAAGCCTTATTTTATTATATTATATTAAAGGATTTGACTGATTTTTGCATCTATGTGCCAATAATTAAGTTAAATGTTTAAGCAATTAATTCAGTCAATGAAGAAATATTTCATATGGATATAATTATATCTATTTTTAAAATGACTTAAGCCTACGCCTTCAATGAAAAAAAAATCTGCAGAAAATTATTGCACAAAAATAATTACCTAGAATACTGAGTAAATAAAATAATAGCTCTTACAAAAACACCTATATAAGTAAAAAAAAAAACTTAACAACCAAATAAAATAACATTTATATAAACCAACAACCATTTAAGTTTAAAAAATAAAATTCATTAAACTCGGTGAGGTTTACATACTACAGCATATTCTAAATCGTTAGAAATAGTATGGTCTGTTTGGTTCCTCTTTCTTATTATTCCATAACCTCCATGATCTTCGACAACTTGAGGTGAGTTCCAATCTGCAGTAAAGGTAACCTGGGTATAAGAAGGATCTAAATTTATCCGAGAAATTGAGCCAAAATGATTTAGCTTATCATAATTATTAGAATTTTTCTCATGATTTAATACTTTGAGATTATTTGGTGCTTCAACCGACTTCCAAGAATCTTCCTTACTATCTGTATCTTTTATTTCTATTTTAGGAAGTGAAGAATGTTCTATAATTTCCACTTTCTGGATTGGGGGATGCATTCTTGGGGGTTTACGTGGTGGTAGTGGTATTGGTGTAGTTGATGTAGGAGAAGGGGGCAGAGGGCTTCGGGATCTAGCATGCATTCCTAATGCATGCTGAAACTGGGAGTCACCAAGTAAATTGTCTCGACTTGACAAAAGCTGTTTCATTGAAGCCATTCTAGAGCACATCATGCGGAAAATATCTTGTGGTGAGCGATGTTCGAGGTCAAAAGTCCCTTCTCCACTTTCACACTTTCGGCCAGCTTCAAAAGTAAATCTTCCTTTTTTGTGCCCATAGCGACGAATATATCTGAAACAAAAATAAAAAATACAACTGACTTAAGTTAAGTTAAAAATAATTAAAATATTGTTTGATGATAAATTTTGACACTAAATATATGTTATCAACATTTTAACTAAAATAATATGGACTAAAATAAATCAGGATACAATAAAGATCACTGAAAAATATTGTTTCATATTAGGTACATGCTTCCTCTCCTACATTGTATTACATTTCCCATCTATCTATATAAACCTAAATTTCCATTAAGTTCTCATCCAGTGGTTAATACATAACTTGATCTAGGTCCTTCAGGCAAACTTTTGGAATATGGTGGACCTGTTAAGCTGAACAACCCAGTCTGAGGTTGTGTGTAAACAATCCCTTAAGGTATTATTTCACTGGTGCGGTCCACGACCGCAACTGCTTGCGGTAGACCACTGCTTTAGTAGAATAGAAAGGACCTATTTCGCTAGCGCTGCTCGGCAGTCTAGGTATGACGTCATATCTAAGCTGCTCCTATCTGACGGCTCTTGAAGCATGGTGTTGTTGGTGGTTCAGCGGTTGTAGGTTATGTTATCATATCAGAGCATCGTTTTGATGATAATAGTCATGGTGATACGTTTTATTTCCAATGTTTCTTTTAAGTCAGGCAAAAATATAAGAAATATTGTTTGAAACTTAAACAATGCAATAGTAAATTATTTTTTTTAAGGTTGAAGTAACAAGATTATTTATTCATTTATTCCACCAACAATATTTTACAGCGAAATTCAAATATACCTAAATCCAAAACGATATTAAAGAAATTAAAGAATCCAACAAATCTTAATGTCAGGTAAATACTAAAATCCACTCATTGAAAAATCGATTTGTATTTTTAAATTAAAGTGGTGATTTACTGATTACTATTGATAAAACGATAAAACATCGTCTGCTGTGATTTAATTACAAATATATGATATTTATTACTGATCAATTATGTAATAATTATTATTACTTTTCAAACTAATAATATCTAATATCAGAGGGACTATTGTTGTTAGTACGGCGTTGCCCGCCTTTTTGTTCTTTTTTGGTTGTTCCTCAATTTTTGATTGTTCATCTAGACAATAGCAAACAATGTCCAAGAAGAGATTTGATGATTTGGATGATGATCACCTCATCGAAATACTGATATTCCTTCTCCTTATGAACACCATTTCCTCTTCTTCTTCTTCCTCCTCAAATAAAAAAGCGTAGTCAGAGAAAGAATGTCCATTTTTTTATCTTCAAAGATAAAGCGAAATGTTCCAGGTTATAGGCAGGTCATAACAACCTGAAGCTGAATGAAAGAAAGAAAAGCTGAACAGTCTCTACGGGAACAACATGGAAATCGGAAAAGGACAAAACCAATCAAAATGGCCACTTGGAATGTTTGAAGCCTATTTGAACCAGGAACACACACGATTTTGGAGGATAGGTTGGCTCGATAAGGATAGGACTTGCAGCAATACAAGAAATTAGATGGAGGAATGTCGAACTGAGAGACCTAAAAGATTACATCCTTATTAACAGTGGTCATCGAGAAAATGTATTAGGCACTGGATTCTTAGTAAGGAAAATATAAGACATGCAATTATGGAGTATTCACTGGTAAATGAAAGAATCTGCACTCACAGAATCAGGAGAAAGTTCTTCAATATCAGTCTGGTTAGCATTCATGCACCAACGATAAAGATGACAAACAGAAAGAGGCTTTCTATGCTGCACTTGAGTCCACACAAGACATGATGTCAAAATAGTATTGGGGGACTTTAATGCAAAAATCAGAAGGAAAGAAGTGTTCTGTCCTACTGTCGGCCCACATAGCTTGCACGTAGAGAGCAATGATAATGGATTTAAAACAATTGACTTTGCTATCTCTGCGGGTTCAGCATAGTAAATACGTATTTCTATCATAAAAACACTCATAAAGAAACATGGGTTTCCTCTGATGGGCTAATTCAGAACCAAATAGATCACGTCATGATTGGAAAAAGACATGCTACAGATGTGACAGATGTTTGAAGCTTCAGAGGCGATGACTGCTCATGAGACCACTACATGGTCGTAATAGAATACTGCCAAAGGATTGCCAACCAACCAAAGGGACAGACAGAAAAAACCAAAAAGTATTGCCTGGAGAAACTAAAAGACCCTCACGAAAATAAGAGGTATGCAGAGAGGGTGGCTGTAAAGCTACAAGAATCTATAGATGGGAACGAAGGTGCGGAAGCTAGATGGAGCAAGATGAAGAAAATGGTTACAGAGATAGCTAATGAGACCCTATTAATAAATCATGGAAATCTCCAGAGCACATGGTTTGATGAAGAATGCAGGAGGATGGTAGAGGAAAGAAATGGAGCCAAACTAGCAGTGCTTTAAAGAAGAACCAGAGCAAACATAGAAAGACATAAAGCACTAAGGAGAGTCATGAACTTGTGCAGAAAAAGAAAGTGAGATGCGGAGAAAGCCAAATTCCTTCAAATGAAAGAGGTGTATGGGGACAGAAATAGTGTGAAGAAAGATATCCTCAAAGAACAAAAGGGAAATTTCAAGCCAAGAATAAGCTTTATAAAGAACGATAATGGGAAGCTGCTGGGAGACCTACTGGATGTGCTTAGTAGGAGGTCTCAATACTTCGAAAAGCTCCTAAACCCAGAAATGCCAGAGGAACTTGTTTCAAGCCCACCTAGGTACATCAGATCAGCACATATAAATAGATATGTTGTAGAACCGCAGAGAATGAAGAGGTTGTAGAAGTTCTTACATCCATGAAAAATTAAAAGGAGAGGATGAGATTCTGCAGAGCTGTGGAAGCATGGAGGAGACATATTGGGCAAGCAAATCTAGCACATGGTTTTTGACACCTGGATGAAAGACTGGTCCACTGCATTAATATGTTTAGTTTGTAAGAAGGAGCACAAGATGGAATGTGAAAACTATAGAGGCATTGTGTATCTAAACACAACATACAAAGTTTTCTCCATTTTGTTGAAGAGCAGGATACTCCAGTACTCAGGGAAGTCGGGGAATACGAGAGTGGATTCAGAGGGGGTATATCCACTATAGACCATATTTCATGCATAAGAATCATGCTGGAGAAATGCTAAGAACATAATCATAATATTGATCTACACCACCTCTTCATACACTACAAATAAGCATAAGACAGTGCAGACCGAGGTAAGTTGTATTAGGCCATGGCAAAAGTGGGAATACTCAAAAAATTGATACGATTAGCGCGGGCAACCATGGAAGGAACACAAAGAGTAAAAATACAAAGTGCAAAGTCCAGTTGCTTCCATATCAACGAAGGATTAAGGCAAGGAGACCCCCTATCTCCCATCCTATTCAACATTGTTTTGGAAATAGTAATACGAGCCATTAGAACAGATCCTGGAGGGACAATCTATAATCGACTGATTATTGTGGATGATGTTATCATTACTGGTTGCACATGTGCATCTTTAATAGGAGCTTTCTAGGAATGTGAACAGAACTCAAAAATGGTGGGAATTAACACTAATGAAGCTAAAACTAAATATTTGAAGACCTGCTGGGGTGATTTTGGGGCAAGGAATGGTCAAGGACTGGGGAAGTACTTTTTCGAGGAGTTTAAATTTCTTGGGGCTGATATAAATGAAAAGAATGACATACAGACAGAAATAAAGTCATGCATGATGGCCGGAAATAGATGTCGCTGGGCGCTCGGGACGAATGGCGGAGAATTGTGGAGCAGGCCAGGATTCTGCAAGGATCATAGTGCCACAGAAAAAAAAAAAAATGAATTGTTATATTAGATTCATTTGTGGAGTCCCTAGGCACTCTGATGTCTCCAGATGGTATTCCAAAATGAAGTGACTATATCCAGTTTCTCGACAGCAGTATTTCTTAGATATATTAGTTTTCCGAATCTTCACAGCCAAAAAATCTTCTTATCTTCTTGATTTGTTTACTCTCTGTTCCTCTGTCCTTTTCTTCAACAAGACATCACAGCCCACAAATCTATATATTCTTTCTCATAGGACAATTTATTTTGAAAAATCCTTATAATCCATGCTACCTTGTTTTGTGATTCTCTACCCACCTACATATGCAAAACCTCAACATTAACTTAATTTAAAAACCAATTTTTATTCCATCTCCTCAACCATCTTCTGAATATTTATAAGAATTAATTTTATTCCACTGTTATTTCACAGCTATTATTTATATTTCTTACCAAGCAAATATGTAAACATATGAACATCTATTTAATTATAATTTTATCAACTTTGTAACCTCATTATTATTTGCCAGACAAATCTATAATGTAATTACCATTGCTCATGTTTGTTATTCTTAAGGAACTAAACTTCCCAGGATAAGATAAAGTTTACTTTCTTCTTCTTCAACACAGAGAGTGAATTCCATAGAGCATGCTCAGAGTGGGGTAGCTTGTCTATTCCACAAAGATTTATTAAAGAATGGAAAGCAATTAAAGTAGACCTTTTAACTCAGGTTCTTAAAAAATGACAAACTTTAAACACTATTTTTTGCATATGGTTCAAATTTGTGGTAACTTGGCTAATATATGAAAAGCAATAAAAGTAAATAATAAATAATATATACAATAATAAATTTAAGCTCATTAAAACATGATATTTAAATTCAACATTACTGTTTTAAATTAAATTAAAATTGGAAAATAAGATTAAATTATGATAAACCACAATACATAACATTTAAACTTCGACTTGACACATGCCCACCAGTGTATATTATATATATATTATCTGCCTACCTTCCTTTATCCTCTGGAGTTGCACAGGGTTCAAGCATGTCTCCTCTTCTTTTCAGCTCTTATATTAATGACCTAAATGATTCAATTATCCATAGTTCCCACCATCTTTATGCCGACGATTCTCAAATCTATTTATCTTTTTCTCCCGTTGAGTTATTGGTGGCATTTGCCAAAATTCAAGAAGATTCAGATCGAATTAGTGCCTGGGCCAACTTAAATGGATTAAGGCTAAATGCTGCCAAAACTCAGGCCATTCTCATTGGTTCCAAGCTCCTTCTTAGATCCCACACCAACTTTCCCTCACTCTTTCTAAACAACCACCCCATCACCTTCTATCCCTTTGTTAAAAGTTTAGGCTTTCTCATAGATCAAACCCTTTCCTGGAATCACCATATTTCTCATATATCCCGCCGTGCAATTTCTACCCTCAAACTATTCCATCACTTCCGCCATCTTCTACCCCAAAATACCCGTATACTCCTAGTTTCCTCTCTCATCTTTCCCCACTTTGACTACAGCTGTGTGGTGTACAATGGCCTCTCGGTGGAACTCCGTGATAGACTCAAAAGACTTATGAATAGCTTCGTAAGATTTGTAATTGGGACCCCGAGACGCTCCCGTGTCTCCCACCACTACACTGAATTAGGGTGGCTCTTCCTCTCCTTATGAAGACAATATTTCCTAGGCACTTTCCTTTATCAAATCATAACCGATCATCGTCCTTCTTATGCCAACAACCTTCTCCAATTTAAGTCCTCAATCCATTCCCTCACTGCAAGATCCTGACTCTCTGACCTATAATCACTTCTCATAGATCTGCCTCATTCCAAAATTCCTTTATAGCCCGCTCTGTCAACTTTTGGAATTCCCTCCTGATCAAAATTCCACATGCCCCTTCCCTATACACATTCAAAAACCTCCTATTCCAATTCCTGTTCCAAAAACAGTCAGATACCAGCTAACTATTAATATTATATATGTATTGTGTAGCAATCATAAAATCATAATATTTGGTAAGAGATAGTACATATAGGTAAGAGATAGTATACTATCGACGTAGGAATTTCAATACATACATTTTTTTTTTTATTCAATTATAATTAACTGTTTATATATATATATATATTCAAGTAAAGGTTTTTTTTTTTTTTTTATGAAATGAACTCATTGTATCTCTTTTTCGTTCTTCATTTCTCAAAGTGTATGTTTATGTTGTTCAACCCTTATATATAATTTTGTTCATAGTTCAAGTGATTCGTTCATAGTTTTAATTGTTTTGTTCATAATTTTAAATGCTCTGTACATAGTTTTATCTGTATTGTATATAGCTTGTGCACCTAAGGTTTTCTTTACTTTTTATTTTAATTATCAATTTTACTTATTGTTTCAAACGTTTAGGCCAGTAATATTCTATTATTTTGTACATTATTGTTATTCTGAAGGGACTTAGTCCCAGAATAAAGTTTTTTTTTCTATCTATCTATCTATCTATATCAATGATAATCAAATTTCTGACGGACACTGTACATAACCTCGGGCTGATATTCGACAGAAGGATGCTTGGGGCCCACATGTCACAATGAAACGAAAGACTTTGAATAAGCGACTGAAAATACTATACTCACTTTTTTTAAATCAAAATTTAAAAATAGACGAAACTAAATATATACACTTAATACACAACACTAAATACATACACTTACCTACTCAAACCCATTTGGACATACGCCTTGCAGATTTATGGTTCAGTAAAAGACTTACTACAAAAATTACAATCTTTTCAAATCTAAAATTTCGAAACTAATAACTGCAGTCCTCTGGTATGTCAACAAAACTTTACATACCAACCTAAAACAATTAACTATTGACCAACACACACGTACTCTCGACTCCCGATTACATCTTAAACTACATGGACGTCACAACGGACTTATCAAAAACTGACATGCTCATCAGAAGATGACTGAAAAGGAGCTGGATAAGAGATCTCCTTTCCTGATTTAAGGATGTAAACAGACCAGGAAAGAGGTGCTGCTGGTTACTATTCTTTATCATGCTATTTTGTGCGGTAACAAAAAATCTGCTAATTGTCAGTATCATGACAGGTGCAGATAGAGATTTGAAAATAAAACTAACATCTCTATGAACTTAACAAACACCGACTTTCCTAATGACTTAGCCAATACATACATCAGCCATATTATATTCACTTCAATATGTTCTGAGTTTTTCGTAAAAGTCTCATATTTTGCAAATACGGCCTTAGAATTATCTTAATCTTAACTAAAAAAACATCATCTAAAATATTAAAAATTAATTTTATTTTTGTAACAGCTTCAGATAAATCAACAAATTCAGCAAATGTTAAAGATTTAGTCACATTATTCTGTTTAATTAGATAGTATTGCAGCCTCAAATGTATTTGGTGTCATAGCATCATAGTAATTTAAATTTACATAAATAAAGTTACAATCAATTTCATCATCGCAAAGTGCAGCTTCAATGGCTCTTTTCAATTTTCTTTTGATTATTTTCTTTGATCCTGTTTCTTCATGGTCCAATTTTTATTCTTGAGTATTTGATATTTCAATTTTTTCTTTCATTGTAACATCTTCAGATTCACTTTCAACAGTTTCTTCATCTTCATTTGCATTTTCATTAATAAAGGCAATACATTTTGTATCTTCCTAAATTATATTGACATGTCTGGCAATAACTGATTAGGATTCTGTAACTGACAGCAGTATCAGTTTGATGTTCTTTTAGCTTCTGATATTCTCACAAAAACATTATTATTTTGATTTGATATCTACAAACTTAGCGGAGATATTTTGCCAAACAAATTTTCAGCCCAAGAAAAATTTAAATTCTTTTTAACTATAGTTTTGAACTCATCATTAAATAGGGAATAACTGGTAAACAAATTATAAAAGAAAAAATCCAAGCAACAAAATTAATTCAAATTGGGTAATTTGAGTTTTATTTCAAGTTTTATTGTTAATAATAAATATTGTATTCAATTTCAATTCAATTCAAGTTTACTTAAAATCTCAAAGAAATTATATTTTAATTTACATTCATTGAAAAAAAAAAAAATTCAGTTTACTTTCTTGAAAAACATAATTCATACTGTGCCACTCATAAATTTTATTACCTTCTGAGTAACAGTAATTATTTAAAACTAGCTGGCTAGTGCGAATAACTCGCATAAAATATTAGTCAGAGGACAACTGATATAATAGTATGGAAATATGTTAATACAATGTATTATGAGTTGGAACAATTCATTTTCCTTTTCTTGGTCGAATTACAATAGTTAATTCATAAAAATAAACCAAAACATTAGTTCAATTTACAGCAGTCTATATCTTTGCTCATAATGGTTCGACTTCGATGTATATATATATATATATATATATATATATTTTTTTTTTTATTTTGTGAAAAATTTTTTAACCTTTCAATTATTCATGGATTCAATCCACCATAAATAGCATACTTTTCCTATTATGGCCAAATTAAGTTTGTATGTTTTCCTGAGATGTTGGGGGTTGTGTTTAGACAATCTTTAAAATGATGGTCCGATAATTGGAAATAACAAAGATATGGTGAAATAAAACACCAGTGAGAAAAAATATATAATATATAATTTATTTATTTTTAATGATGGAGGACTTTCCAACTACTTTTAGCTCTTCCACAATATAAAAAATAACAGTAAACTTGAAGGTAGAAAACATTAAATTTTACAAAAAATGAAATTGCTATATAGTTGTGTTTTTAAATAAGTAAAATCAATTTAATGCCATCTTCGTGTTGTTTTTAAAACTTTCAGCAATATTATTTTTCAATTCCACTTCATGCCAATTTTCTTTATAGACACAACGCTCAGTCTAGATGTACATCATCGTGATATTTATCACGCAGGAATGAAACTCAAGAGATGCCCCCATTGTCAATACATTTTCATGTTTTAGTCTTGAGTATCCGATTCATGGTTTTGCTAGGCTGATCTATTTTATTGTATTCAACTGCAGGTGCACTCGATTTGTATCTACAGAGGGCTGGAAATTATGGGTGGATGTTACTATGATTCGTCACTGCTCCATTTAATACCCTTTCGTTTGATACCTCATTCATCAAAATACATCACTCCTGAGAGCCGGAAAAGGCATTGGAAATGATAGAATGAAGGAATAAATAATCAGATAAAAGCTGGTTTATTTAACTCACCTATAGGGCCATGTGAATAGAATGCTATTATCTCTTATTTGCTTCAGCTGAAGAGCTACAGTTGAAACTACCAGGGTATAATCACCCGGGGACAGCTCACAGCGTTTTGAGGCTTCAGTTGGAACCAGTATCACCTTATAAACTCCTGCTGAAAAATAAAAATTTACATATTTTTTTTGCATAGAGCTTTAAAAACTATTCTAATGTTGAACATTTAATCACTCGATTTTTATGATTGACCATGTCAGAGTTTTTAGGTTTTGAGAAGGAAGGAAATTCTTCAGTATTACTTTCAGTGACCAAATTTAAAGCACATAAATTTCATAGAATCTTAAATAATAATCAACAAATACAACCATTGAAGACCTTTCAGCAATTATCTAAAATTCATAACCATTCATAATTAACCACAAGTCTCAAATATTTCATTATAACTCAGTGCATGGCAACTGTCCAGAAATTGAGAAAATTATTCATCATTAATAAGACTACAACCTACATTTTTTTAGAGATGTGAAACATGGCCACTCATATCAAATCCGTTTGCTCAAAAATTGTTACATACCTTTTAGAAAATTGATAAATAAAAACATTTTATTCAATCAAGGGTCAGTGTTTTTGTTTCAATCACAGTCACATAGTTTCAAACAAAACATTCAAGGATTCTCACTGAATGATTTAAAATATTAAGATGGTGATTATAATAATAATAATAATAAGGCTTAGCGAACCCGAATGTTCGATGCCGACACCACCAATCGCTTGTTATTAAGATGGTGATTGCGAAATAAAATTAAACAGGTCTGAATTATTTATTTAAATACTTGATTATCCAATTATTTATAAAAAAAACTCAACTAAATAAATTAGGGGTGTGATATTTCTCACATGAAATAAATTATTTTAAGTAATAAAGTTAGTGATTAGTAATAGTATAGTAATATACTTAAAAGTTATTTTTTTTTTTTTGGCTTCCAAACCTTCCATATTCAGCCAAAACCTTCACGTGAGCTAATACCTCCATATCAGTTACCCAGGTTTGTAAAAATAATGCCTCAGTATCCAATAACAACCCATCCAGTCCATTCCCACTCCATTACTCCCATCAACTACCCTTCCCAAGTCCCATCAAATTATGAATCAGTTTCTTGTACAGCAGGACAGTACATACTCCATCAGAATCTCCTTATCACAAGAGCTATCCCTCACAAACTTTAGATTTAAATCCATCTGATACAGAAAACCCAATCAAGTAATCAACTCTTCACTTCTCAGATCTCCAAGAGAGTATAAAGCCCCTTAGCTGTCCTTTTATAGGCTACAAACTATATATATACAAAACCAACGAGACATTTTTCTATTTGACAACCACATTGATATTACTTTAATTTTTTTTATTTATTTATTTTTTTATTGGATTACTCCCAATCCCACCATTTCTGGCATAAAGCGGGGTTATTCTAGAGGTACGACCAAACCTATTCTAATCAGAGTGGGGAGGACAAGTTTCGTTCTGTGGGTTCGCCACGATATAAAAGTCAATTCCTCCTAGGCCGGATTTGAACGGGCGTCACTAGGCACAAGAATGCTACAATGGGCAACGCTCCAACACTCTCAGCCATCACGACCTAGATATTCCTCTGCTGAAAGAAACTCACTTTATTCAATGTACATATTTTTACATACATCACTTATAGTGACAACATCACTTATAGACCAGACCAACCTACTACACTTTCCATGCTGGTTCCTGTTTCCTTATCCATAAATCCTTATCCTGTTCTCCTATTCGTATTGAAATACTTGTAACTTTATTGCGGTAAATTTTACAAGGTAAAAAAATAAGAGCTAAAATGTGAAAGGCGATAAAGATTTAATTCCTATAATTTTTAAAATGTAATACAGACCTTATTTTTCTGTAGATTAAATATATCATAGCAATTGCATCTCAAACTCTTCAATCACACATAACAAACCTTGAAGAATGGTGTCAAGACTGGTGGATTAAAATAAATTCCAATAAATCCCATCAAATTACCTTTACTCTTAGTGGTATACCTATGAATTCTTGTCCTACAGTATCTTTCAACAACACCCACTTATCTCTATTGAACAAATCCGATACCTACAACTCCACCTGGACAAACGTCTAACTTGGAATCCTCAGACCAGACTGAAAACACAAGAAAAACCTCTACGGTTCCGACTACTTCAGCATTTACTAGACAAATGCTCTAAGCTTCCAATAAATTACAAAAGACTCATATACATGACTATAATAAGGCCTATTTGGACATACAGAGTAAAGCTCTGGGGCTCCACTAAACCATCGCATTCCTCTCATATCCAATCTTTATAATTCAAAATCCTTCATAAAATTCTCAATGCTTCTTATTTAGTTACAAATAAAATCATCCATAACAACCTTGATGTTCCATACATTTCCGAATTGGTCCACTCCAGATACCTATCCTTCCATAATATACTTCAGAAAGACCCTAACCCTCTCGTTTCTAACATTGCTTCCCCGACATCGATCCCTGATAATCCTCGAAACATCTGAAAAGAAGATGGCCTCATGATCTCCTAATTTAGATACTTTATTAGAGCGCTACCAATGGGTAGACTTTTTACAAGTCATTCCATACTGTATTTCTCTGTATCTCATTTGCTGGATGTATATTTATTTTTATAAAGTTGTAAATTTCTTAAATAATAAAAAAAAAATTATTTTTCAAATTCAATTGAATTATCTTAAAAACAAGGTATAATAGATATAAAATAAAAAATTTCCATAAAAATATTTCATTAGTTCGCTTAGATATCAAGTTTTTATAGTCAAATATATTATTTCATTAATTGTTAAGTATATTTAATAAATATATTAAAGATGTTTAGGCTAGGATCAGTTGAGTAAAAAAAAAACTGATGCCTTGTTTAGTTTTAAAATTTTATCAAAACGGATAAAAATCTAAAATGAATAAAAACATGTACCACTACAACCCATAAAGGGTCTTGGATTGAGTAATTAAGATAAAACTATGTCATTATTATTTCATTAATTTATTTAATAACAGAATATTGACAGCTTTCGTGGTATTAATACATTTAAAACATTTTCATAGATTTATTAATGCCTTAAAAATTCAAAGTAAATGATATAGTAAAGTATTATAATTTAAGCCCACAACTTATGAGGTTTCATAAAATTAATTATTGATTTTTTTTTTTTTGCAGTTTAATAGAGAGTACTTATAATGTATATATTAAACTTTTTCTACCAACTCCAACAGCCTTCTTGAAGCTTCAATCCTTTTCAACATTAATGTAAGTAAAAATCATCAATAATTTTAATTGTAGCTATATAAGCAACATACTATAAACATGATGGCACTTGGTGGCAGCAACTACAACTTCTTAACTATGAGGCTGTAATTTTTTTATTTGTAGTTAAACTTCTGAGGTTCGGTAAACAGTCAATATTTGGTGATATCAGAATTAAACCTCTGGATTCAATAAGCCTCAATAATATAATATCATTTATTTGAAATAAATAACATACCATCTCCTCCAGATGAGCAATACAACTCATTGTCTTCTTCTATTGTCTGCCTGGAAGCAGAGTCTTGAAATGCTACACTTTGGAAAGCAGAAATCCAGTCAAGCATATCACATTCAGAACTACCAGCAAAATAATGGATTTTTGTTTTAGTCACAACCTATAATATAAACCAATCAAAACAAGATAAGATAAACAATAATAAGGCTTACATTTTAATTAAATCAACAATAAGCAAAGTTCATAATAAGACAAATAGAGTTAGACAAAATCACAAAACATTTTATTATAAAAAAACCTTGTGGCCAAAAAGTCATTACAGAGGGTTGTTAAACTAAATAGAAAATATTGAACGAAAATATGAGAAAAGTTTGGTTCTTTAAATGTTGATTCTTTAAATATAACTTTAAAAATACCTAAGTTGATCAATTAGGTAATTCTCAAAACTCTTTTGGCTAGTATATTTGAAAAAATAGTATTTTATTTAAAATGAATAAAAGAACATTAGCTAACTAAAAACATCAACAATTGCATAAATACAATAAATTATTATATGGATCATTTAAAAATTTCAGTCACATTTATGTCACAGGACAATAATGGGGTCAAATCACAACCATCTGCAGTTAATTTTATATTGTAATAATTTAGTCTGTTGGAAGTGTACTGATTATTCATTGTTTAATAAACATTTTAATAATTTTAATTTTAATAAACATTTAATAACAGTCATTGGGAATCTACGAACGTTCTGTGGGAGAGGGGGGGGGGGAGGGCGTACTTGTGAAACATATAGCTTCGGTGGTGTATATGTATATAATAACAATAATAATAAAAGGCTTAGCGAACCAGAAGGTTCGATGGCGATTCACTTATTAGAATAGAATAGAATAGAAAATAATTTCACTCTGGGACAAAGTCCCTTTAGAATTACAAAAAAGTACAAAATTAAAATATTACAACTGGTCTAAATAAAAACAAACACAAAAAATAAAAAGAAAGAGAAATAAGTAAACAAAACGTACTATATACAAAACAAAAAAAAATATACAAAACACTTGACGCTATGCCAAGACACTTAAAACTATGTACAGTGGTAAAACATAAATATACACTTTAAGAAAGAAAAAAGAAAAATACACTAAATTCTTCTTAAAAATAAACTCTGTGTTTGTGTGAAATAAAAAAGAAAGCTGAATCTGATAGTAAAAATTGACTGAGTATTTAAATGATGAATTATATGTAAATGCAATCATTATGAATATTATGTAATTACATCATAAAAGGTTAGCGGGTATCTGACTGTTTTTGGGACAGGAATTGGAATAGGAGGGTTTTAGATGTAGATATGAAGGGGAAATGCCGAATTTTGATAGGAAGGGAATTCCAGAAATTAACAGAGTGAGCAATAAAGGAGTTTTGGAATGAGACAGATACTTTATTTTCAAAAACCTTAAGACGTTGCTCATCTCTTTACGAAAGTGGCCACGTTTTGCATTCATAAAGAACTGTAGGTACGATAATGGATATATATAAAAATACCTGGAATTCATCTGCTAGAAAAGTATGGTCACCCTCAGAACATTCTTATTTATATTTACATATAATTCATATATATATATATATATATATATATATATATATATATATGAATTATATGTAAATACATCATAATTATGGGAATACATATATATATATATATATATATATATATATATATATATATATATATATATATATATATATATATGAAAAGAATGATGTATTTTAGTTTTTTGTTTCGTCCAATATATTGCCATAAAATGGCAGTCGAAATTCCCCAATTGGATAATTGAAGTCTATGATTCCTAAAACAACATATTTTTGCATGTTTTCCACAAATTCAATTAAAAATAGCTCCCAAGGGATCAGAGCACTCTAGCAACTACTTTTAGGAACAATATTAAAATATTTCGCCAATAAATAAAGAACTTTTATTGTAAATATTCAAGACTTTTTAAATTATTCGTTATTGAGTGTAAAGCATAAATAAAAATTACTTGTTTAATATAATTCATTTTTCAATTAAAATAATAACAATAAAAGTGGCAGTCGTTAAGTAACTTTTTTAAGATAAAATTTTTTCTCGCCTTCCAGGAGAGTGAGGGTGGCACTACTCTGGATCCGCTAGTGAGCCCAGTTCAACTAACATAGTTAGCTGTGAATCTTGAACTATTTAATGAGGCTATACAATTATAGCTATTCAGAACAGATATGAGATCTAATCTTTATACTCAGATAAAAAATAAATGTTGATTAAAGGCGGATCTAAGGGGTGGGCTTTGGGATTGAAGCCTCCCCCCGCCTCCCAAAATGGTAAAATAAAACCATAACGTATAAAAAGAATTATACCTAAAAGCATAATTATTGTAATTACATTTAATAAGACTTTAAGAATGCTTGAAAACCATTTCATATAGGTAGTTACTTTCTTTTTTTTCCTTCCTAAGTAAATATCGTTAAGTATACAGAAAAAAAAAAAGGTTTCTGGCTGAAACCCTCCAAAATCAAATCCTGGATCCGCTAGTGATAATGATTAATGTATTCCTCATATTCATCCTCACTTTTCAAGTCTAGTGATAATTCTTTGAAAATGGTCTGGGCGGATTGAATTTTAATTTGTGGTAGACCCACAAAATAAATCGCACATTCCCATACTGGTTAGAACAATTGTGGTTTGATCTATAGAATATTGAAGTAATTAAGGATGAAGGCAAATGTAATAGAATTAGAGTGGTGGTAAGAACAGCATTAAACTAGGGAAATATAGACAAATAAATATCTTGACAAACAATTTATTTAAAATACTGCTAAGTATTTTCACTCATTCATAGCAAAAAGATGATTTAATGAAAGAATTTAATTTAGTAAAGGAATATATTGTGTATGTAAGGTACTAATAAATTAAATAACAAAGTTCCTCAGATAACTTACAGTAAACACAAAACTTTGAGTTTTTTGGGGATCCTGAGTAATTTTTACACAATCTTCAAGAGTAACAATTGGAACAGATAAAGTTTTGGAGGCATTTTCTTCGCTATCATAAATTTCAACCCGATCCACACCCCTTTTGCTGGAATAGAATAGTTGACAAAACTTTTTTTGCCAAAATTTCTGTAAAGCATTTAAATTTTTATTTATTAATTTTATAATATAATCATTAATAATAATGTTTAAATAATATTCAATAAAATATTGTCTATTACCTTTTTCACTTGTCCATTTGGTGGAATCCACAGATATCCTTGTTTATATGGTACATCTAATTCCACAGCCATAATTCATTATTTATATAAAGTTCAATATTTAAACTACCTTGGTTCCTAGTTTTAACAAGGAATAGTATAAAGACATAACATCAGTTTAAGATGAATGTTATCTTAACCAATAAAACGTCAAGTATTCATATCACAAAAATTAACATTATTACAAACTTCATAAAATATTAAAGTTAAAATAAAAAAACAAAACAAATTTACAGTACTTAACTAGCTGGTATTAAAACCGAACATATAAAAAAATGTTATACCCATTCTCACGTATCCGTGTGGGAAATTCCAAGATTAAGAGACATGAGAGATATTTATGTTGTGTGGTTGGTAATAAGGAATTCTTGTCATAAGTTGTTTACACGAGGTTACATGAGGTTACATGGAGTACGGGTATCTTGTTGTGTTGTGAAATAAAGTTGTTTAACAGACTATCAGTTTTTTTAACAACTGAAATGAATTTATTTTTTATATTATGCAGCTGTCATCAGGAACTTTAGAAGAAGGCAAACTTTGTTCTAAAACCAGCCTTATACCAGCTTTTGTAAGATTTATAAATTTCACTAAATATAAAGTCAGAATTTATTGGCTTGATTATGAGGGTAAAAAAAAGCTGTATAACACAATTGGACCTGGTGACTTTTTAGATGTAAATACTTTTGTCACTCACTTATGGATTTTTGAAAACAATGATAATGGAGACAGATTGATGGGAGAATGGAACTTGGTTTTCTACCCTCAGTCGTGGAAAAAAGAAAATGAACTTGCCAGGAAGATAGAACCAAGATTTCAAGGCACTGAAGTAGCAATTAGAAGAATAATTCCAATAACATATCCACTGTATTCTCTGAAAATGAGATCCTTACAGGTGATAAGAGATCTAGTTTCTAGTATTGAAGATATCCCACATTTAGACCTCCCTGCTTCTCTTAAAAAAGAGTTGCAGGTGTTGATGAGAAGAAAATTTTGCACTTTAAACCATAAACCTTATTGCAATGAGTGTGTTTTTTAAAGTTTTATTTATTTTGATATGTGGCTCTGGTGGTGTTTAATACAAAATTTTATAATTAATATTAGTTATGTTTTTTTTCAGTTTACAAAACCAAATTATTTCTATTAATACCGATGGATTATCTATTAATACCATATGCAATATCTCCTATAAATTTCACTAATGATTGCATCCATTAATATTTAGCAATAAAAGTTATATATTATAGATTGAAATAAATATTTACTCAAAAGAAGTATTTTACATCAGTTAAAATTATCGCTTAAAATGATTTGGAAAAACATCTTAAAATACGAATCTGTCTCTGTTGTTAATAACACAGACATACCAACTAACACATACATAACAACTTGTTATGTATTTTTATTCTATAATTTTAACTGATAGATGCAAAATTTAAATTGGTAAAAGGTAGCTTAAGGAGTATACCAGCATACCAAGTAGCACTTGGTTCCTTTGTTAAATGAACTACATTCAAATCCTACTTTCTCTTTTTAAGTTTATTTATTTAAAATTGATGGACTTAGTCAGGCAGTGAACTTTGGCTTAACACACTTTTTTTTTATTCGTCCACCCCTTCCTCGCCTTTTGGATATATGGGGTTTTCCCTGGCCAGGGGATTTATACCAGAGTTATTTATTTATTTATTCAATTTTAAAAGATTTAAGTGACCATATCTTTTTGTATATGTTCATGGGACTATGTTACTTGCTGTGTATGCATTCTAGTTTTCTGGTTATAAAATTTGCATTCAAATACCATATATATATATTTTTTTTTGGCCGTATAAATTTACTAAACTGTCTTGTATTGGTTTTACCAAAATATGTATATATTGTATGATTGTAATTGTGTGTATTAGTATATTACAGTATTGATATTGTTTATGCTGTGTATTATGAAAAAGAATTTGTATATATATAAACATATAATTAAGTGCTATGTCCAAAAAAAAGGATTGATGGGTGCTGTATATCGAGCAACCCTATATAGTAGGGCAGCACTGCTTTAAATAAAGTATTTCTCTCTCTGCTCCCGGGACTGGTACGCGAACTCGTAATAATTTTTTTTCCTCTAAACCTCGGTTGTCAGGTTGACGGGCCTGTGGTGTGGTGCCCACGCGTTAGCCCGCTTGGTTCCCTCGTCCCCAGTGTAATACACTTACTAATACCACTCAATACAAAAATCAGTGGCTTATTTAAGTCACATTGGCTATATTAAATTCGATTTGCTAAATGGTGAAAGAGCAGGTAATATAATGGCCCCCTGAGGAATGAATAGACATAGCCGGCTAAGGGCTAAAGGGGTTAAGATAATGAAGTAGGATTTGGCCCGAGCTGGAGGAAGTTTGACCCTAAGATCTGGCTGGTAAACATTCGTCTCTCGGCTTTCAATGATCATATTACTCTAAAATGTTTCTAAGATAACAGTTATGCCAAGAATTGGATATCTATGAACAGTAGCTTAGTATTTTGATGTAATTGAATGAACTGAAAAATTTATTTTTAAATGATGTAACAAAAATTTTGGTACTTCGATTCAGGATTTATTCTTATATGTAACCAAATGAAAATGCTATCAAGTCGTGGACAGAAGTTAGAAAAAGAATCCTGAATATTCTTTAAAGGTATGTATAAATTTTAGTATGTGGATATTTCTTCCTCCTAATGCTGTTGCTGGAGAAGTTTCTCAGTCCTACTTGAGCTGCTTCACCTGTTGAATTGTTTTTATATTCTAATCCTCTGAATATAATCCTAGCCTAACATTTGTGTTCTTTAATGTGTCCCATTGCTTGTTGGTACTGCTTCCATAACTTTTTTGGGTTTCTTTCTTGCTGATATAGCAAACATGGCTGCTGAACCAATTAGACTCTCATTCCTCAAGGGTAGTTTCAATGCAAGAATTTTAAGCTCCTTCCTAACATTCATTTCTTACAAATTCTCTTCTAATTTTTATTGCTCCTCTGTATAAGTACTTCATTTCACCTCCAGTAATATGGTCGAAACTCAATTGAGTACTTGCAGTGATTTTTAATTTTTATTCCTTTGTTGAAGGTTAGGTTATAAATATAAGAATACAATAATATCTGAATTTTTCTGATGCATATTTGGAAAGATAAATATTGCTAAAGAAAAGTGGTGGGGACAGAGCTATATTTTAGAGTTTATTTAACCAATCATTACAATTTGGTCCGACCAGATCGCAACATTTATCGGTTGGTGCCATTAAAAATAAGTAAATAGAAGTTGATTGTGATGTTGAGCCAAAAAATAAATATTTTCTTTATTTTTTTGACTGAACACTAACCAACTTCTCTTCGATTTTCTCTACAGTCAACCATCAATCCACTATTATTAATAAGTAAATAAGTTTTACAAAGTTACATTTTTTTTTTTAACAATATCAATATATAGAATCTTTATCATGGGACTAGGTCTTAAGAATAACAATATTGTTTAAACCAACTGAAAATAAATCTGGTCAGATGTCCTATTATTTTATTAGAGTAATTACAAGCTACGTAATAAAGTGAGTATATACTTATGCAATATGGTGATTCCATTTGAGGATTTGGTCTATGAAAATGCCTAGGTTTTCTACTGAGGAGCTGAAGGTGATGGGATGGTCATTTAGGTACAGGATAGGAATGTTGGTATTGGATCTGAGAACTGGTTTGGAACCAATTACAATGGTTTGAGTTTTGGCAGCGTTTAATCTTAATCCATTTAAGTTTGCCCAAGCAGTGATCCGATTTAGGTCTTCTTGAATTTTGGGAAACGCATACTGCAACTTTGAGGGACAGAAGGAAGAATAAATTTGGGAATCATCGGCATATATGTGATGGGAACACTGCAGGATGGATTTATGAAGGTTGTTGATGTAGGAACTAAAAAGAAGAGGCGATATGGTAAATCCCTGGACCACTCCTGAAGTCAGAGTGAGATAGGGAGACGAAGGTTGATTGGGAATTGCTTGGGTACGTTAAGAAAGGATAGATTGAAACCAAAAGATAGAACTGTTAGAAAAGGTTAAAGATTTTAATTTGGAAAATAGGATGGAATGGTTGATGGTATCAAAGGCTTTGGAAAAGTCTAGGAGTACAAGGACAGTTAGTTTTTGGTCATCAATGGTGGATTGAGCATCACTAATGATTTTGATTAGGGCTGATTGTGTAGAGTAACCTGGTCTAAAACCAGATTGGAGCAGGTCAAGTTGACTGGACTGTTCGAGGAAATTGGACACTTGGAATTGCACTGTTCTTTCTAGAGGTTTTGAAAGGTTAGAGAGGATTGAGATTGGACGGAAATCTTCAGGGAAAGTAGGATTAGAATTTCTATTTAAATGACGAACGATGGCTTTCTTCCAAGGGGTGGGAAACACGGTATTCTGAAGAGAGAAATTATAAATAAAAAGGAGAACGGGGAGGATTTCAGGTAGGCATAATTTGATTCATTTGGCAGGAATGCCATCTAAACCAATGATGAGATCTATGGTTGAAATATCCGAGAAATAAAAATCGTCTTCGTTAAACGATGTAGCCAGAGGTAAGAAAAGGAAGGTCAGTAATCCTGAGTGGAGACTTTAATGCCAAAACAGGAAGTAATGAAAGATCTGGATATGAAGTTCTAGGGCTGCATGGAGGAGAGAATGTGAGAAATAGTAATTGACAGCGGCTAATAGACTTTTGTGTATATAACGACTTCCTCATAGGAAATTCTTTCTATCCGCACAAGAGAATCGACAAAATCACTTTCTCATGCATAGAACGAAATAGTGTAATTGACTATTTCATATACGATAAGAACATAAGGCAGTATTTCGCTGATATAAAAGTTGTAAGAGAAGCAGAGATAAGCAGCGACCACCTTTTATTTGTAGTATAAAAGGTAAATAAATGAATTTGAAACCCTAAACGTAAAGGCTTGGATGATCCAGAGAAAAGGGCCCTCTTTACAGAAAGCCTGGAAAATAAATTAAGAGAAACGTCATTCGATGGAGATGTGGAAGAGATATGGAAGGCACTGAAAACATGTATTCTGGAAACAGCAACAAATACAGTTTGTGAGAATAAGATAGGGTCTGATAAGGGAAAGCTGACAGACTGGTGGACCAATGACCTCCAACAACTGGTTTCTCGGAAGAAGCTTGCCTGGAAAGCATACCTTAAAGATGGAACTGAAAAAAAGCTACACCTTTATCGAATAGCCAGGAATGAATGTAACATAGCCATACGCCAGGCCAAGAAGAAGTCGTGGGAGGATTTTGGTAAAAGGCTGAGCTAGGACCATCGCGAATCCATAAGAACATTTTGGCGAAAAGTTAAAATGTTAAGAGGAAAGCAATGCAAGCCCATTAGACATGTAGCGATGGAACCGTACTTACAGACTAGGAAAAAATCCTTGGCAGATGAAAGCAGTATTTCCATGAAAAATTCTCGGAAAACCCAGAAACAGACCACTGCCAACAACAAGAGCCCAATATTCAAGAAAGTGTAGAGGTCATAGAGGAAGAAGAAATAGAAAATGCAATCCTTAAGCTAAAAAGAGGTAAAGCATCAGGAAGGGATGGAATTTCAAAAGATTATTTGAAATATGATGGTCAAGAGCTTCTTAAAGCACTTCAATCGCTGTTCCAAGAATTATATGACAGAAAGAAAATTCCCTGGGAATATTGTGGGGACTGGGAATATTGTATAATCCTCCCGATTTATAAAAAAGGGTGCACGACAGACTGCAAAACTTATTAGACCCATTAATTTGCTTTCAGTAGTCTATAAACTCTACACTTATATTCTTGAAAGGAGACTCCGGCGGATTGTGGAAGGGCAGTTAGAAGCGGAACAGGCTGGTTTTTGTCTAGGCCGACAGACGCAGGATCACATCTTTGTCTTCAGAAATATTGCTGAAAAAGCTTGGGACAGAGATAAAAATTTGTATCTTGTATTCCTTGATCTGAATGCGTTTGATGTGGTCCCAAGAAAAGAAATTTGGAATGCCCTAATAGCCAAGGGTGTACCTGGAGACCTGCTGGCAGCCATACAGTCAGTCTACCAAGGAGCCATGGCAGTGGTAAGAATAAATCTGCAAGCTTCGAACTGCGTGGACAACAATTGGGAAATGGAATATGGGAACAGTCCTCGTACAAAGATGACAGTCCTAATAGCCTACAACAAGCTTTGGCAGAATGGGAGGAAGAATTGCTCAGGAACGGGCTGCAAATTAACAACTCCAAGAATAAAGTGCTGGTTTAGCCAAGGGAAGAACAGGGAGATGTACAACTGATCTGCAACGGCGAGACACTTGAGGTAGTGAGTGAATATACCTACTTAGGCACTGTAATCAGTAGCTTGGGTAAGATAGACTCCGAAATATCAAATAGAATATGCAAGGCGAATGAAGTGTATTACCAGACTACTAATAGCATCATCGGCCACCGCGAAGTAGAAAAGAAGACCAAAATGCTTGTATATAAGTCTGATTACCTACCTATAATCACCTACGGCGTAGAAAGCTGGGCAATGCTGGACAGGCACTCTAGTCGCATGATGGCAGTAGAAATGAGGTTCCTTCGCAGATCTGTTGGTAGAACTAGAAGGGATCGCATTAGGAACGAAAGCATCAGAGAGCAACTAGGAGTTACCGAACTTAAAACAACTCTAGAAAGACGGCAACTCCAGTGGTTTGGACATGTCTGCCGCATGGATGAGAACATGAATCCTATAAAGATATTAGAGGCTCGATCCACAGGAAGGAGACAATGCGGACGCCCCAGAATTACATACCAAGAATATATCCAAAGAATTGGAAGTAAAAGAGGCAAAACCCTCAATGAGATAAAGCGGCTCAGCAGGGACCGGGAAGAGTGGTTACGCTGGATTGAGGCTCCTCGACGCTAACTAAATGGCATAAGAGAAAGACAAAGAAGAAGAAGGTGCCAGAGGAAGTAGATATAAAATAGGAATTTAGATCATCAGGTGTAACTGGGTAAAGAAAGGTGGTCTGGATGGTTCACAGAGGGAGAGTTTACGAAGGAGTAGCCATTTGAATTTGGAATCAGGAGCTGAAAAGAGTGCTTAATGAAAATAGGTGAATTTGGCTCGTCGAATTCTGGTTTGTGTCAGGTTACTGAGGATTCTAAACGTTTGGTAGTCGTCAGCAAGCTTGGTACATTCAAAGCGTCTACGGGCTGCGTCACGTCTCCTCTGAAGATCTTTGCTTTGTTGACCATCCAGGGAGCCGGACGTC